TAAACCGTTATACATAATTACTGCTTTCATTCTTTCAATCCGTTTTGAATATTCGGAATCATTCACTATTATATTATAAAACTGTATAAGATATAGCTGTAGAACTATAAATGCTGTAGAATAAAATAAATAAAGAAAACTACGTTTTATCGCGGTATTTGCCGATAAATCGGTAACCGCTACAGAAAAACAGAACAAATTACAGTAAATCACAACAAACCGCGGAAGTGGGACAATTTTTGTATTTTTACTGTAAGACATGCAGAACATGTACGAAATCCAAACAGAAGTGTGTGTGTATTCTATACTTTTGAAACAACGAAATCAAAATTTGACAGTATTAAAGCTACTTTTGAGAATTTAGATTTTAGGTCTTTGTTTTACATGTACCCAGTAAATATTTTTGAGTTTTGAACTTTGATTCTCACAAGCTTACAATTTGTTTACAATTTACTCTGCCTCTGGCTCTGCCGTACTGCACGGCAGAGTTGATCGGAATTGTAACAAATACGCGTACACTTAAATGGCTTCCTGAATTTAGTTAATCAGATGTGTAAAAATTACTCGTTTCAATTTTATGTTTATGCTCGAAACTGCTCATGTTTACAATAGCAATTCTAACAATCTTGCCCTCCTTTTCGCCTTTGAGGCGTTGGTGTTGATTTATACACAAAATTCAAAACTCAAAAATATTTACTGGTCTGGGTACATGTAAAACGAAGACCTAAAATCTAAATTCCTAAAAGCAGCTTTAATACTGTCAAATTTTCCGAAGTCTGATTTAGTTGTTTCAAAAGTATAGAATACACACACACTTCTGTATGGATTTCGTACATGTTCTACATGTCTTACAGTAAAAATACAAAAATTGTCCCACTTCCGCGGTTTGTTGTGATTTTAATACTGTAATTTGTTCTGTTTTAGTCTGTAGCGATTACCGATTTATCGGCAAATACCGCGATTTGAAAACTTACTTTTTCTTTATTTATTCAGTTCATTCTACAGCATTTATAGTTCTACAGCTATCTTATACAGTTTTATAATATTGTGAATGATTCCGAATATTCAAAACGAATTGAAAGAATGAAAGCAGTAATGATGTACTGTATAACGGTTTAAACTTAGCCGGCCGTACAGCTCACTGCCACCGGTCACTGAGCCGAAGGATAAACCGAAAATTCACTTTTCTCATCACAAGATTTAATGTTCAGTCGATCCGCTACATTGAAAGATGAGTATACTTGGCTATTTTTTGGCAGGGGTAACGAAATATATCGGCTGTTCTCTACAGTAAGTGTTTCTTTATGTGTTGCCCATCGGAATATAATATAACTACATAACTCATAAGCTTGATAGATGTAAGATAACGAGTTTCACAATCCCATTTTAAATACTATGGCTTTTGGCAGCCTGGTTTTGCATCATATGTGTTTTTCAGTAAAAGCCCCATTTTCCTACTTCCCCAACGTGTAATACGCGAAAAAACTTTGTTAATAATAACAAAAATTGTAATAGTAAACAGTGTATTTTATTATAAAGGATTTTCGTTTTTCTACTGCTCCGTACTTCGTGTGCTCCGTGCTCCGTGTGCTCCGTACTCCGTGTGCTCCGTGCTCCGTGTGCTCCGTGCTCCGTGTTTTACTAATAGCCCACAACAACAACTATAAACGAAAAAGCTAATTTGCATGCTCTTTATCAAATTCGTAAAAATCTAGATTTTCATAAACTTTAATGACTAAAAACAACTACAAAAATTTTTGACTCAATAATTTCCCCCATTCTACTATATAACTCAGAGGTTTGGGGAGTATACGAAAAAAATGATCTAAATAAATGGGATAATTCAGAAACAGAAAAAAATCATTCAAGATTCTGCAAGCTATATCTGGATGTTAACAGAAAAGCCAGTAACGTGGCTTGCAGAATTAGTGAACTTGGGGAATACGCACTGCTGATTACAATCAAAAAGAATATAATAAACTATTTTAAACATATTCTTAAACTAGACGACAACTCAATCTTTAAACAATCCTTCCTAATGTCTAAAAACAGCTATTTGAAAAAGGCAAAGAATCGTCCTATACCAACGCAATAAACATGCTAAAATCATTCTATAATAATACTATAACAAACTTGGAAAGTGATATAGTCAACTACGTACGATACAAAAACTATCGTAAATAAGATGAAAGATAAATATTTTGAATTTTGGCGACATAAAATGATTAACTCCTCTAAACTATTTTTTTTTGTGCATTAAAAAATGAGTACAAAATGAAAGAATATTTATCCCTTATCAATATAAGCCCCCAAAAAAGGAGAACATGCATTTTCTCAACATAGAATGAGTAATCATAATTAATTGCAAATTGAGGAGGAAGATACGCAAACTTTGCAGCACTGGTGAAGTAGAAAACGAATACCACTTAGCCTTATCTTGCCCGAAATACGAAGAATTAAGAAACAATTCTAACAACATTCTCAAAAACTTAATTCATCTCAATAACACAATGGAAGGAAAACAAAAATTGTTTGAGCATGCGTTGTCTTCAGATGATACAGTTCTTGTTAACCTGCTTTCTAAGTATATCTTTCTCTGTTTTGTGGAGAGAGATAAAAGCCTCAAATCCATGGAAGATTAAGGATATTAACAATTAGACTTGAAAAATATCTTAGATAAATAATAAAACAAAATAAACAAAACATGACCCCCGTTATATCTTTAAATTATATACTGCTTTTCTATTTGAAAAAGCTTCTTACTATATTCTCAATAGTTATAGTTTCGATATTATTGACATTATATAGAGAATATTACATGGGTGCGCGGAAATACCAGATTTATTTCGAGTGTTGAACATGATATCATGTTCAACATGTGAAATAAATCTGGTATCTCCAAACACCCATGTATTTTTCTGTTTATTATATAAAGGACAGTCTTTGGAAAGCGATAATTTTTACAGAAAAGCAATAATTGAAAGCGATAATTTTCACATGTGAGATTATGATGAATAATCTCACATGTGAGATTATCACTTTTATCAGTGCTCGAAGTACTATTTAAAGCACTATACTTTATGTAATAAATATATATAATCTATGCTTAGCAATACCTGTAATTAGGTCATGCAAATAAAGATTTATAATAATAATCCTGGTTTGAGCAACCGGCCCCTGGTTGTAATTTCTCCAATCTTCATGATTCATGAAATCCAGCTGATAAACTATAACCAATCATGATTGAACATATCACTGTGTTTGCATAAGTTCGCATTTGGCTTCTTTTTGGCTTCTTTTGAAGAAAAATTTGTTTGGCCAGATTTCGGCTACTTTTTCTAGCTCCGAGCATGCCCAAAAACCTACCAACCCTGGGTATATTACGTTGTCACGTTACGTCATCGCCGCCAGGATATTTTATTCGTTTCACTGGTTTGTAATGAAATTTTATGGGACATGGCGAAAATTTCCTTTGTCTTTATATTGGTTACAAACCACCTAAAATATCCAGCATTTAATTGACCCTATAGTATTGCAAGAGAAAGAACCGCTAAACTACAGGGGTGTATAAAAAATCAGATTTGAAATTACTCTCAAGTTTTTGTTATATAAAGATTCCTTGAGTACCCATAATGTAGAATAATAGAAAATCCTAGAACTCAAATTGTGTAAATCAGGGGGGTGTTTCTTTTCCAACAAACTAAAAATAGCATTATGGCATGCGCACGAAATCTAAAAGCTTTAATCGTTATATTCTTTGCTGCCTTAAATGCAAATTTAAGGTTGTTATATATTGAATATCCATGATTCCCAGTTACATGTTTTAAAACAGTTTTTATGAATGGGTTGGGTAAAACAAATCTTTGCCAAAACTCAAGGCATTTTTTGATACCATGGACTGGTGGGTCATTTGCCCCACTGGGCCCTTTCCTCTGCCCCACCACTGAAGAAAAAAAATGTGGCCTATTGCCCCAAAGCCAGGGCCCTAGGACCTGTATTGAGTAAATGAGTTTAACATTGAAATTAAAAGAAGTTTAAAAAACAAAATTTGTTGGTGAGCATATTTAAACTTATGTAGTTGTGTTTGAATGTTTAGCGTGCAATTTATTACAAATTTCACCATTAAAACTTTGTTTTGAGAAGCTGAGATTTTTTAAAAAAATGTTTTCTCAGAATGCAGGATCAGGAAATGCTATTTCAGAGACCCAAATTTTAAAAATTTCCTGCGAGGGCATGCCCCGAGATTCCCCTAGCTAACTCGTGCCTGCGGTACTCGCCTCATATGCACCTTCGGTGATCGCATACTATTCTGGAGGGAGGGCAAGGAAAATGGGCCCCTTGGCAGTTTTACCCCACCACTGAAGAATCCTTAAAAAATGCACTGCCAAAACTTAAGAGCCTCTAGATTCAAATTGTTTTGGGGAACACCCCCTAGCTCCCGTACCCAAAATCGAGTTTGTCTGGCCTTTCTCCAATTCTCCCACCTAACCACACCATTATTCTGTCACCTATATATGTGCAGGTGAAAAATCGACCCCCCCCCCCCTGCAGTCAAACACCCGTTGCCTTCGTAACATCCTTGTATGTGCAGTTCTAAATTTTTCTTAAAATAAACCCTGTTTTAGGGAAAAAATGTAAGTTTGCGTGAATAGTTATTAGTTAAAGGGCTTAAACTGAAGCAAATTGTCTGAAATTGCGTGCAGCAATTAAACACCCAACACGTTTTCACCCATTAATTAACTCAAAATTCGTTTAAAGCTTTTAAATCTCGTGCTCGGGCCATTTTTAGTTTGTTGGAAAAGACACACCCCTGGTTTACAAAATTTGAGTTCAAGAATTTTTTCATTATTCTTCATTAAAAGTACCCAAAGAAGCTATATATATCAAAAACTGGATACGAATAGCTGTTTTGCGAAATTGAGAGCAATTTCAAATGTGTTCAGTTTTTTTATACACCCTGTATTAAACTAACGTTTTGGAATTTTTTGTATTTAGGTTCGATGGGCAATCTTGCTTTAAATAAACCATTGAAAGCATCAGCGCTTTACAAATCAGACATGAAAGATACACAGGCTAACAATGGTGATGTTACTGAACCAGAGGCACATTATGCATCACATTCGAGTGCGAAGGACCCTTTCTGGCGAGTGGACCTACTCGACCTTTATCTTGTCACAACGGTTGAAATTGTAACTCGTGTAGATGGCTTCTTTTACCAAAATGGCGTAATGGAAGTTCGAGTTGGTAAGTCCGGTTGTAGAAAGATTGGCTTGCGCTATTCACAGAATAGTAACTTTTTGAAACAGCGACAATTGCAACATAGACGGATTTCCAGCTTTTGCTCGGGGGAGTGTCGAAAATTCGGGGGGAGGAGGTGAGCGAGGGGATGCGTAACGCCGCCGAGCAAGCTGCAGTAGAGGGTTTGGGGGAAAGTCCCTAGTGGGTACAGAGTTGAGGTGAGGGAACGAACTCCCCAGGGAAAATGGAAAAATTTGAGGATTTTGGTCTTATTTTGCTCAAAATCCTTTGTTTTTAGTCTTATTTAGTTCAAAATCCTTATTTTAATTGTACTACTGTCATCTTAATCCAGTGGAAACCAACAAGCATTCAAATTCCTGGGGCGTGTACAAATTTCTCTAAGTGGGGTGCGAAACTTTCTAAGAGGCAGCAAAAATTTTTTGGGTACCCTGCACCGCCAAAAAAATCCATCTGGCCAACGACAGAAACAAAAACAACTGACGAAGAAACAGTGACTACTTAACATAGCTTAACGTAGCTTGCGTGGCAGGCTCTCTAGGTTTGGGGGAGGCGATGGAAAATGGAAAAAAAATTTTGGGGTACCCCCCAATTTTTTTCCCATTATCCCCCCCCCCAAAAAAAAAATATTCTATTTTCCATCACCTCCCCCAAACCCAGAGAGCTAACTACAACGCGGCCGCAACAACGACAACAGTGACAACAGCTAAGAAATAAAAACAAAGTCCTCTTCCAACTATTTCCATCTTTTGATGAAATTTTTTGTACCACTTCACAGGAAACAGTTTAGAGAACGAGGGGAATTCAAATCCACTATGCGGTGAACCTAAGGATTTAAGTGATTTGCCCCGTCATGTATATCGTTGTGAACTGTACGGAAGATATGTGAATGTAAAGAAATCGAATATTCCTACCGTTTATATTTTAATATTGCAAGAAGTTTTTGTTAATAAAGAACCGACAAGTAAGTACTTCACTAAAACTAAACCAAGCTAAACAAACTATTTTGTACTTTATTGCTCTGTCAGTTTTAAACTATTCTCCCTATTAAAGGGCAATACCAACAAAAATATTTGACTGAAAGCAATGGGCTGTCCGCCATTTTGGATTAATTCTTAACCTCCATTAGCTATCGTTTTGATGACGTTATGAGTTAACTTATAAAATTACTTCTAAGTTACTGAGTAACAATCAAACATTGTTTAAATTGTTTTTATTTAATTCGAAATTTAAAATAGGTAGTAAACAAAAATGCGTTTTCAGGTTCATATTGATCACTGGCTATTAAAGTACAAAACTGGCGTGACCTCACTTGTGACCTAAGGGACTGGTCATAATTTATCAGGGGGGGGGGGGGGGGAGGTGTAATTCAAAATTTTAAGGAATGATATTTTGTGACCCTGCTTTGCCATAACCCGGTAATAATATACTATAACTTTTTTTTATGTGAGAAGAAGAACAAAATGTGAGTGTATAAAACTTGATTGGTCAAAACAGCAGACTCCCTCCCCGCCTTCATAAACTGTCTAATATTTGAACCCCCCTTTTTTTGGCTAAAAATGTGACATACCCCACAGTTTCCACCTCCCCACCCCTCCTGCTAAATTATGACCAGTCCCTAATGTGCATATCTTCAATAATCCAAGATGGCGGACAGTTCATTGCCCTCATTGCTTTCAGTCAAAATGTTTCAAGAATCAAGCAAGATACCGTATGAAACATCTGTAACGAGACTTTAGAGATAATTTTAAACGTTCTTTCAAATGAGACAATGAAAATTGTGTTGCCATTGTATTTAAAGATGCTGTAAAGTCCGTTCTGTGCATATATTCTGCGCATCAACACATTTCATCAGTGGAGGAGCAACCTTTGGAATGTTAATATTTCGAACTTTCTTGAATTGAATCTCCAGTCTGCATTCATTTACAAGCATAGCGAACCGGAAGAGTGTTAAAAATTCAGCATAATATATATCTAATCATATTTTACAACTGTAGCACTGAGTTCAAAATGTAAACAAAGCGTTTGTTTAGATTACGGACTTTACATCACCTTTAAAGTGATGCATCAGTAATTGTTCTGGAAATGAATCATGAGAGGGGTAAAGTTCATGATATGTTCATAGCAAAAACAAGTAAAAAAGTTGGGATCACCGAACTTGGTTCGAAGATATGACAAGTGCAATATGCCACCTTTTCCCCCATTTTGCGCCATCTTAACCCTTTTATAAGTTACAGAAACAATCGAAATTGCTCAACTATTATTGAATTTTTTTAACAACATCCTACTAAAAATATCTATCTAGTGATTATATACAGGAAAACATGGTATTTTAGCGAATCAAAAACCATTGACGTGCACTATCGTGGTGCAAAGATGTCATTTCCCATCAACTTCTCAGACAGGTTATTGTGGGAAGCATGCGCGAAAAATGTGAAATATTATAAGCTGCAGAGATGATTTTTTTCTTATTTTCTGATTTGACATATAAAACGTGTAGAAGAACAAAAATATTAAAAAAAAGTAGAGTCGCGGACCTTCTTCAAGATATACAAGGGTTAAACATGCAACATGATGTTGTTTAGTGTTAGTTGCACAGCAACCTGCAAAATTAACCAGCCGTCCTGTGGCAGGTTGCAGGTTTGCAATTCCCTACATCCAGACGATGAATGAGATCAGTGACTGATCTCCACTTCCAGTTTTCATCACAAACAATAACTTTATTCAAACAAAAAATTCAGAAATACCAATACTGGTAATAATATATAGAATACAGCAAATGTCTATTATAAGCTATACTAGAAAATACATGCATGCAGAAACCCTCGCCTTGCTGACAAAACTATTGTGTTTTCCAAACATGAAGTATTGTCATGGTAACACAATAATTTTAAGAATGGTTTTAAAATTAAAAAATCCCCCCAAAATGATCAATTTCCAAAATGTGCTAGGTATGTTATTATACGTAATATAAGCTTCAATTTAATGTAAAAATCAACAACAAACGCTTCGCAAAGCGTTTCAAAATGTTCTTAAAACTAATCTGCCTTTTATTGGTAAACATTAAGTTTCAAAATCGAAATAGATTGATTTCAAATTCTTGCATGAAAACATTCTCGTACGCAGAGCCCTTCTTACGCGCGGTGCGACGAGGGGCTCTGGCCAAATCCATATTCCGAACTGGCATCTGATTGGCTAGTTCTAATACCGGATATTGTTTCTTCACCATGTTTTTTTGGCCTAATTTTCAACGAGTGACCGAGTGAAAATGGCTCTGGGAACGAGAACGCAACTGCTCCTGTTTAGATCTTAAGGAGTTAAGGTGGAGTTACACGAGCAACAAAATTGCAACAAAAACTGGAACTTGCAACAAAATCTGATTTCAACGCATGTTAATTGAAAATGTTTACACATAAATTACAAATCACAAGGCAACATGTATCGACATTTCTATTTAACATGCGTTGAAATCATATTTTGTTGCAAGTTGCAGCAATTTTGTTGCTCGTGTAACACCAGCTTTAAACTATATAGTTCTTCCTTCAAAATTTTCATCCCTAAAATACCGGAACAATTTCTTTCGTTGAGCGAGATTTCAAAAATATCGATCGTCCAGTTTTGCAGGGCGAACAATTTTCGACGGTGTTGAACTGGTTTGAACGAATCTTTAATTGCTGTCTTCTTTTCTTTTCAAGCAAACGTTGCTTTTGGCAAAACCACATTCCACAGCTCAAGGTACCAAGTGGCGGCCGGCTCTGACAAGGCAGTAGATGGAACAGTTGATGGATTTAATTCAAAACCTGGCCATTTTCCACATTGGTGTATGATTGATTTGGGAGAGACCATACCCATTGTGAAGATATTTCTCGTGCATATACACAAGATTGACAGATTGAACAAGATGATTGTAACTATTGGTATGTATGATTGGGCCTGGTGCCACTTGATTATAGTTTTATTTATTTATTTATTCTCTTAATAAACAATGGTGGGTAGTAGCAAATTGGTTGTAGTTACTGTAGCGATGCTACTGTAGCAAAGCTACTGTAGCGAATTACAATTTTCAAGTAGTGAGTAGTTTTTGACTACTTTTTTAAAACAGTTGTTGTAGCTGTGTAGTGAACTTTTTTTTTCAGTAGCGAAGTAGTTGATTACTAGTATTTCAAGCAACAACTGCTATTCGCCACTTTTCAAATTTCACCTAATCTCTGAATGGACATATAAACAAAATATGATACCACACCAAATCTCACTACCAGAGCGTGCAAAATATTTGTCCTCTTAGTCCACCGCCAAGAACGTCAGAGTTTGATTGGCTTTCTTATACATAGCCAGCGCTCAGTCTCCTAACCTTGTTGTAATACTGTATACAGTAATTCAGGCGATAAGTTAGCCAGCGATTAGCTAGCTGAGTTCTCCAATAGCTTGCCCCAAGGTTGTGTTTATACACAAAGACGGACCTTCGTCTTGACAAATGATCCACATGCTTGCAGTGTTTATGTCAGTGACAGTGGTTGATATAGTGGTTTTCTTTTGCTCAAGTTTGTGTCAAAATTAGAAATAGTCAATAAGAAAATGAGAATGCCGTTTAGTTTAGCTCTACTGTAGTACTTACACTGTTTTTGCCGCTTGTTGTATTTAGTTTTAATTTTGTTTCATTTTAGGTGACAGTTCAACCGACCATGGCAAGGATAACCCGCGAATGGGTGGTATACATGATTTTAGCAAAAGCCAAACAACAACTCTGTATAATAATCCCCGTATGTCTGGTCGTTATGCGACCATTGAATCATTAAGAGATGAGCAAATTGCCTTTAAGGAAATTGAGTTATATTCGGAGTCGATGCGTAAGTATTTGAAAATTGGTTAGATTGTTCCGCACAATATGACGTGTCAAAGTGGTATGTGCGTGTGACTTTCATGCCGTTTTTTGGTTGTATATAATTTTTACCTTAATCTCATGCGAGAGAAGTGTACTTCCAGTTTGACTCTGCAGTGTATCACAGGGATTCCACGGTATTCTGGTTTCCTCCTGTAGTAACGCTGGACCAGCAATGGATGGCCTTTTGGCCATGTAATGAGAACAGTTTAGAAAAAATGCTTACGAACGAATATAAGTCCAGGGCTTATATTCGGAGGTTTACGGTAGAAATATAGAGAAATGAAAAGAAGGATGCAATGAAGCAAGCAAGGGAGAAAGCAGAATGAGAGAGGTTGAAACGTTGGAGGGAACGTATGGACAGACGGAAGAAAAGAAGGTAGCATGGATGGATAAATGGATGGAAAGATTGATGGATAAATGAAAGGAAGGACGGATAGATTGGAGAAAAGAAATGAGTAAAATGAGATGGAGATTGAGGTAGGAAGGAAGAAATGATGCAAGGAAAGGAGAATAAAGGGATTAGTTGAAGGATGGATAGGCAAATAGAAGAAAGCATAGGATTAAGGAGGGATGGAAGAAGAAAGAAATGAAAGAAGGAATACAGGAAGGAAGGATGGATGGCGTTTTTGTAAGAGAAAGTTTTCGGACAGTAATGAAGAAAGTATAGTTAAATCAAAATATTTTCTTCATACAGCATTTATCGAAGAAAGAATTGGTCTCGGCTCGTATTCTGTTCCACTTTACCATGGCTACCAAAATGTGCTACCATGTCATTCGTATGGTTATCCAGCACCCTATATAGCATGGGTCAGTAATGGAGTGGTATTACAGAACAGAACCAGTGATCAAGATACTAATCTTGTGGTTATCGCAAATGGAACGAAGGGAACAACAACAGACTATGAATGCTGGGCGAGCAATATTCATGGCAAAGATCTTTATTCTATCACAGCTAGTCATACAGGTCGTTATGACATGTGTATAAAACCTGAAGAGGTGAGAGATCCAAGCAGAAACAGATTTTCAAAACAAGATACAACGAAAGCAATACAAAATGATAAAGATTCCTTTGATGCAAGTAAAATGTACAGTTTTTTTAACCCGCTGAGCAGCTTGTATATGAAGGTACTGGTCCTAAATTGCTACATGTTTTATGCTTTCCTAGTTAATTTAGTTATACAATTGTGGTTGTATAAAGTCGAATCTCTTGCTGAAAGATTATTCTTAAATGTCTAGACCGCGAGCATGTCTTAACCGGGACTGGACTTTATCAGTATTTCCAATTGCGGGGGTGGGGGAGGGGAGAGGTGGGGGGGGGGGGGGGTGGGGGGG